TGCTGCATAACAAATCACCACAAACTTAACAGCTGAAAACTCATTTATTAACTCACAGCTCTATAGGTCAGACATCTGGCACTGTATGATTGAGATATTTGCTCAGTGTACCATAAGACTGAAATCAAGGGGTCAACAAGGCTGAGTTGTCATCTGGAGGTTCTGAGGGAAAATCTGCTTCCAAACTCATTTTTTTTATTAGAAAAATTTAGTTCCTTGTGGTTGTGGGACTGAGCTCCCAATTTCCTTGCTAGGTGTCATGGGGGGAGAGCATGTTAGCTACCTAAGTCTGCCTGCATTTCTTGCCACGTGGCCCCTTCTTACTTCAAGCCAGTAACAATGCATCTAGTACTTCTTATGCTTCAAATTTCAAAATTCTTTCATCTTTGACCTCTAGATCTATATTTATAGGTTTCATGTGATAGGTTCACCCAAATAGTATCCTTTTCTTAAAGTCAACATAATATAACTGTCATGGGAGTGATATATTCTCTATTATATCCACAGTCCCAGAGAATATACAGGATTATCCAGAAGGCAGGAATCCTGGGGAATATTTTAGAATTCTGCCTACCACAGTAAACTTTAAAGCAAGAAGCATTATCAAATGTAAAAGGGACTATTTTAAAATAATAAAAGGATGAATCCATTAGAATTTTGAGTTCAGGCCCCAAAATATACAAAGAGATAGACAATTCTGCAATAAGTGGAAGAAAATATAACAAACCTCTCTCTGCAACTGATTTTAAAATTAAAGGAAAAATCCATAACAATAAAGAAAGTTTTGAACAGCATGATTAATAAGTCTGACTTAACTGACATATTTAAAACATTACACTCTACAGTTCAAGAATGTACATTCTTTTCAAGTGCACATGAGACACAGACCAAAGCTGACCATATGCAGGACCATAATAAAAGTGCCAATAAATGTCACAGGATTGTAATCATATATAACATGTTCTCTGACCACAGGGGAATTAAACTAGGAAGGAATGACAAAAATATATAAAGAACATTCACAAGTTTTCAAAATTAAGCAATCTATTCCCAACTAGCTTACTGGTTAATAAGCAAATCACAATATAAAATTTTAATATATCACAAACAGAAAGACAGTGAAACTAAAATATAACATGTGGATAAATCTAAATCTATGTTTAGAGGTAAGCTTATACCCATGTTATATGTTTATATAAGTTAATATAAGTTTATACCCATGCATGTTAATAAGAAGACTAAAATTTAATGATCTAATTATCTATCTTAAGAAGTTAAAAAGGATAAAAAATTATTCCCCCAAAAGTAAAAAGGAAAATAATACTGTTAAGAACAAAAATTAATGAAATAGAAAGAAAATGTACAATAGCAAAGATTTACAAAGCCAAAGTTGGTTTATGGAAATAAATAATAAAGTTGCTAAAGGTATGTACAAGATTGTCAAGAAACACAGAAGAAACAAAATAGAACAATCATAAATATATGGAAATCAAGCAACATACTCTTAAACAACCAACAGACCAAATGAGAAATCACAAGGGAAATTAGAAAATATTTTGATATAAATAAAAAGAAAAATAATAGCATGGAGATGTAGCAAAAACAGTACTCATAGGGGAATTTATAGCTGTAATCACCTACATTAAAGGAAGAAGAAAGTTCAATAACCTATCTTTACACCTTGAGGAACTAGAAGAAAAACTGATACCAGCAGATATAAGAAATAATAAAAATTCGAGCAGAGATAAACAAAACAGAGAATAGAAAAGCAATAAAGGAATTCAATGAAACCAAAAGTTTGTTCTTTGAAAATTTCAACAGAATTGACAAAACTTTAGTTAGAGTGACTCAAGAAAAAAAAAGGGGGACAATTATTAAAATCGCAATGAAAAATGAGTATAATACTGTCAATCTTACAAAAATAAAAAGGATTATAAGAGAATACTGTAAACAATTCTATGCCAACAAATTAAATAACCTAAATGAATGAATAAATTCTGAGAAATTCACAAACTATCAAAACTGACTCAAGAAGAAATAGATAATCTGAACAGTTTTATAACAAGTAAAGAGATTAAATCAGTAATTGAAACCTTCCAGCAAAGGAAAGACCAGGACCAGATGGCTTTGTGATGAATTCTATCAGTCATTTAAATAGGTAACACCAAATGCTTTTCAAACTTTTCCAAAAAATAGAAGGGAAAACGTCCTAACTCATTATCTGAGGCATCATTCTAATACCAAACTAGACAAAGACACTGAATGAAAAGAAAACTGCAACAATATTCCTTATAAATATAGATTCAAGTATACTAAACAAAATATTAGCAAACTGAATCTTACAGCATATTAAAAGGATTATAAACTGTGATCAAGTGGGATTTATCCTATGAATACAAGAGTGTTTCAACATATAAAAATCAATGTAATACCCACACTAATAGAATAAAGGGGAAAAAACACATAGTCATCTCTTGCATAAAAAAGCATTTGACAAAATTAAACACCACTTTCACGATTTAAAACTGCAACAACAGCAACATGCAGAAAACTAGGAGCAGAATGGAACTTCCTTAACCTGGTAAAGGGCATTTTTGCAAAACCCACAGGTAACGTCATATTCAATGGTGAAAGACTAAAAGCTTTCCCTCTGAGATCAGGAACAAGACAAAGATTTCTGCTTTTGCTACTTCTATTTCATATTGAACCAGAAATTCTAGCCAGAGGAGTGAGGCAGGAAAAATAAAAGGGCATTTGCAAGAAAAATAAAAGGGCATTTGCAAAAATGCCCTTTACCAGGTTAAGGAAGTTCTATTCTTTTCCTAGTTTTCTGAGTGTTGCTGTTGTTGCAGTTTTAAATAAAAGACATCACAATGGAAAGGAAGAAGTAAAATTATATCTATTTGCAGATGACATAATCTTATATATATGTTAGTGTGTTTCTATATACTAACAATGAACAATCTGCAAAGAAAATTAAGAAAGCAGTTTTATTTACAATAGCATCAAAAAATAAAATACTTATAAATAAATTTAACCAAGGAGATAAAAGGCTTGTGCACTAGAAACTATAAAACTTTGCTGAAAAAATTAACTAATACACAAATAAGTGGAATCATTCCATGTTTATGAATTAGAAGGCGATATTATTAAGATGGCAGTATCTCAAAGTGATACAGATTCACTACAATTCATATCAAAATCCCAATGATCTTTTTGCAGAAATGAAAAAAGTTTATCCTAAAATTCATATGAGATGGCAAGTGACCCAAAATAGCCAAAATCATCTTGAAATAGACCAAAATTGAAGGACTTACACTTCTCAATTGTAAAATTACCTACACAGCTACAGTAATCAAAACAGTGTGGTACTGACATAAGATTAGATTTATAATTTAATGGAATGGAATTGGGAGTCCAGAAATAAAACCATACATCTATGACTAATTGGGTTTTCACAATGGTATCAAGCCTATTTAATGGGGCAAACAATAATCTCATCAACAAATGGTGTTGGGAGAATTGAATATCCACATGCTAAAGAATAAAGTTGGACCCTTATTACCTCCTAGCATACACAAAAATTAACTCAAATGTGGTCAAAGATGTAAATTTACAGCTAAGACTATAAAACTCAAGAAAACAGGGTTAATATTTCCTGAATATGATTGTGGCTGTGGCTCTTAGATATTACACCAAAACATAGAAATTATAGGAAATGGATGCTGGATTACTAGCATGGCAGCTCAGGGAGCAGGAGAATTTTCAGGGAAAAAAAAAGGAAGCAGAAAAATGCTCCTAAACACAAAGGGGCTCCTCTATGGAACCCGTGACCAAGTCAATAAAAAGCAACTCCTGTCTCCCTTCCCCAGTCTCTCTGGCTTTCTTTTCTATTATCTACCTGCTTCATCCCAGCCAGAAGAGAGCCTGTAAGCTCCCCATCTGTCTTCAGAGCAAAAGAGCTTGGACACCAGGAAGAATAGGCTGTAAGAGCACTTCCTTGGGAGGGTGGCTCAGTGCCCTCACTCCTGGCTCCATTCCAGTTCAGCAGAATCTTGCTGTGGGATATTTACCCACTCCTTTGCAGGCCATAGAACTGGCCCAACTATGAGCAGTAGCTGCTCTGCCAACATGAGAAAGGGGCAGCAGTTTTCCTAGTTTTAGCTATGCACTCAACCCTTTAACGGCCCATACACAGCTCAGGCTTCATGCAATTATGCATTTAATAAATGTACTGAAGAAAAAGGGGAAAAAGCATAAGCAACAAAGAAAAAAATAGATAAAATGGTCTTCACTATCAGGTGAAAAGGTAACAGTGAATGGAAGAAACTTTTAAAAATCATATATCTGATAAGGGTTTATTATTCAGGATATATAAAGAACCCTTACAGCTCAAAAACAAAAAGACAAATATACCAATTTTTTAAAAGTGGGCAAAGGATTTGTATAGATTTTTTTCAAAAAAAGATATACAAATGGCTGATGAAAAGATGCTCAACATCATTAGTCATTGGGGAAATGACGATTATTTGTAGACGATTTCTTATAGAATTACCATATACCTATTATCAAATAATGATACAACTCTAGATAGGTTTAAGGATTTGCTTTTTATATTTTTATGCTCAACTTTAATTTCGCTATGATATTTATTTCAAAATTATTTTAATGTAATCTAACTCAGGTCTCTTTATTCAGTGTAAACAATTTTATATAAAATTATACTGTTCATTCTTCACAGATCAGTTTTCATTGTTATTACATATAAAATATTCTTACAATAAATCTAAGTAATTATTGTCTTTTTCTAAAATTTAGATTCTTGTGTGGTATTTAAAAAATAAACCATTGTTTTAAGCTTAGAAATGGTTTAGCATACATTAGTTTTCATTGAAATGGTATTTTTAAACCAAATTTTAATAGTAATTCAAGTTTTTATACATTTAGAACAATTATGATTTTTATTTACCATACTTAATGCTAATTTATTTCTTATCTAGTCATGCAGATGGATCGATAAAGTTTTGGGATGCTTCTGCAAGTAAGTTTTAAGTTTCTCCTTATATTACAGAAAACACTTGGTTAATATTTACTCATAGCCATTGACCACTTTTTAGTTTGGACAGTTAATATTTTTGATACATATTTAGCATACACATATGGCTGTGTTACAAAAATGCATTTCCTATATTATTGAATCAGTTTGAAGTATTATCTCTACTGTACTTTTATGATATAAACAGACACAACTGAAATCACTCTTTATCAGCAACCTATTATATTTATGAGGTAATGTACATTGGAAAAAGTACCAAACTTTGTCAGACTAACTCTTTTCAAGGAATTTCCTTCACCTCCTCACTCTTAGAAAAGTGCTTTTATCCCACTAGTCTTCACTTTTCTTTGCCACTTGTCTACCAAGTCCGTGAGAATCAAAAGAAATAATTTGATAAATGTAAAACTTCTTTTGAAATCTTGAGAATTACATAATTTAAGGACTACAGGTACTCTGCTCAATGTTGAAGGGCATGCAAAGATTTAAGACTTGATTATACTCATACATACCCTTCAGAGAACTTACAGGGCAAACAATATGATAAGAACTCTAAATGTAGTACAACCCAAATTCTATTTTTTATTGGAAATGGGAGATTTATTTGAACCAGGTAGATCCAGGAAGGGTATTTTGGTGGGGTGACATTTAATGTGAGTTTTGGGAGATAGTTAAGATTTTGATAGTCAGGACTAGGAGGAGAAGAAGTGAGCAATGTCTCTAAGTTTCTGAGTAACCATCAAGATAGAGATAACTCTTTGGAAATAAGGATATAGAAGAGTTCTGGAAGTTTGGATTTTGTTGGAACACCAGGAAATTCAAGTAAAACTGTCTATCAGGTAGGGAGAACAGTCAAGAATGGTAACTAATTAAGAAGCAGCATAGAAGTGATACCTGAAGCTATAGAAGTGAACTGAGAAAGACTGATAAACAGAAAAGCAGAGGGAAGAAGGTTGAACATTAGTGATAATCTTCGTCTGCAATCTAGAGTCCTTTAGCAGTGGAGCAAAGCATCAGCAAGAGGAAATGATTAAAAGATTTAAAGCCATGATGAGGGCCCTTTCTGACCTCACACAATAAAGATCAATTGTTCAGAGGGAAATTCCAAGGGACAACAGATTTTTTATTTTTATGAAACTTTTCATGTAAATCTGAGTTTGTTCCACGAACACAGTTAATTGTATAGTTACAATTACAACGAGCAAACACCTTTGCTCGTTTTCCACCACCTCAGAGTCACTCCTTAGCTTCTAAAATGTGAGAAGACACTTTAACACTCTAATGACTGAAGTGCATACCACCCTTAAGCATGCACGATAATATTTTAAGAAGTTAATTTTAAATAAAATATTGTATTACATTCAGAACATATGTTACAGAGGTTTGCAGCATGTTTAATATTTTTACTGTAATCAATTATAAGGGCATATCTCCAAATCGATGGATGTCATTGGAGAAATATCACTTAATTTGCCAATTTTGTGGGATAAGGTCCAGTACAGGAAATGAGGTCATACCGAATTTGAAAGTTGAGTTTATGTTAATATGTGTACCGTTGACCTTGAACAACATGGGAGTCAGTCAGATTGTGCCAACCCTCTACACAATCTGAGCATAACTTATAGTTGGGGCATAATTTATAGTTGGCCCTCACTATACACTATTTCTCTGTATCTGTGGTTCAGCATCTAAGGATTCTATCAACCTCAGATTATGTAGTACTGTAGTATTTACTATTGAAAATTATCTGAGAATAAATGGACCCATGCATTTCAAACCCATACTGTTCAAGGGTCAACTGTATTCATCTTCAGTTGCTGAGTATTAAATTACCACAATTTAGCAGTTTAAAACAAAACCCATGTACTGTCTCACAGTTTCCGTGTGTCATGAATCTGGTTCAGGTTAGCTGAGTTCTTTGCTCAGGGTCTCAGAGACTGCAGTTGAAGTGTTGGCTAGGACTGCAGTTTCACCTGCAGCTCAGAGTTCTGTTCCAAGCTTTTATGGTTGTTGGCAGAATTCATTTTCTTGCAGCTTTAAAACTCGTGATTTGTTTCTTCAAGGCCAGCAAGGGAGTGTCTCTCTAACTTCAGGGAAGGCCCTGATCCCTCTTTTAAAGGGCTCACCTGATTCTGTCAGGCCTACTAAGGATAATCTCTGTTGATTAACTCAAAGTTAAATAATTATGTCTGCAATATTCTTTAATATTTCCATGTCACATCAGGCTTACAGAAAAATCATAAAAACATACTATGAACTGTTGTATAGCCTTCAGCCAGATTCCGCAAGTATCAATGTATGCGTGTGTTCCCTTCACCCGCCCTCCTCTCAATCTAGCACTTGCTTGCTCCCTCTCTCTCTCTCCCCTTCCCTCCCCGCTTCCTCCCTCCCCCTCCCTCCTGTCCTCCCCCACCCTTTAGTCTTCCTCTCTTCCCTCCATTTTCACACACAAACACACACACACACATATACATATATACATATATATATAGCTTTTTATAATCATTTGAGAGTAAGTTGCAAACATCATGCTCCTCTAAACAGTACATGCCCTCCTAAATACTTCAGTGTATACTTCCTACAAACAAGGGCATTCTTCTATATAATCAAATTATAGTTATCAAAATCAGGAGCTTAATATTAATACAATACTATTACCTAACTTCCACATCTGACTCAGTTTTAGCCAGTTGTTCCAATAATATCTCTCATAATAAAAGAAAATCTAGGATTATTTGTTGGATTTAGTTATCGTATCTGTTGAGTTTTCTTTAGTCTGGAATGGTTGCTGAGTATTTGAAATTGACATTTTTAGGAGTTCAGGCCAGTTATTTTGTAGAATCTCTTCCAATTTGTGTTTGACTAATGTTTCTCATGATTAGGTTCAGATTATGCACTTTTGGCAGGAACTCCTAGAGTTTTAGAATGTTTCTCAAGGATCCTTTGTAGAATCAGAGCTTTTATATAGTGGAGTTATCATCAGGTTCTAAAATGGAAATATTCCCCCAAATAAATATTCCCCAAAACAATTCACAAAACCAGACTTTTTTAGCAATTACAACTGACCATTTCCTAACACAGAGCCACTCAGAAAAGATTCTTTCTAAAAGAGTCCAGATCATTGGACTCCCAATATTACTAACTGGTACTGGTAAATTACAAATGTTTCTCATCTGAAGGAGTATCTAAAAATTTGTTGAGAGGAATAAACCCTCAAAGAATAGCATCAACCTCTCATCTAACAATCAAAGGAAAAAATTGTGAAATAGTATTGAGGAGTCCCCCTTAAGAGAGAAGTAGGCTCAGTAGTTTCATTTAAAAGTTTCTGAACCCAAGTATTTTTGTCAATAAACAAGGATAAAAATACTCACTTCGCAGGACTTTTCTGAGGAGCTCATGAGACAATGCATACAAAGGTCCTACATGTTCTTTGGTATATAGTATATGTTCAATAAATGTTTATTTTTTCCCTATAGTCTTCCTCCAGCTAAATGGTACTGATATGAGAGCATGACATTGAATGATTCCTTGTTAAAATGTAGTTTATTTTGTTCAGTTGGGTTTTACTTTTGTGATTTAATACGTATATTTAAAAGGCTTCGACAACATCTAAGAATTAAGTTCAAATTAGAAGATAACTATGATTCAATATCTTATAGTAACACTGCAGATGCTGTACAAGCTAAAAACTTCAAAAGTGTTTGAAAAACAGAAGGTAGGAGAAGGAAAACAAACATGTGAAATTGTAGAGGAAGATCCATATGCCATTCAGATGATCCACTGGTGTCCAGAGAGCAGAATATTCTGTGTATCAGGAGTCTCTGCATATGTCATAATTTATAAATTCAGCAGACATGAAATTACAACAGAAATAGTGGTAAGTCATTTAAAATTTAACTTTCACACTTAGAGTTATTAAAAGAAAACAGTTATCATAGATCTTAACTAGTGCTTGGTATGGTTTTAAGCCACCAAGAGTACAGTATGTGGCCAGTAATCCAATTCATAGAATTTTTAATTGTTCTTGTTACTTAGTATAACATATTAAAAAAAAATTCGGCTTAAAATGACAAAAACAGTTCTCTATCAAAATTTAGTATTATTAAATAGGATAGATTATGCCTATAGGTTTTATATAGATAGTTACTGATTTATTTTATATATAAATGTCAAATTAATGCAAGCTTTGTTCTATATCTTTATTAAATTTTAAAAAAATTTATCTTTTTGCCAACTAATTGCCATAAATGATTATTTCTCAACTACAATAAGATTACTTTGAATGATTTTTTAAATAGCAACATATTTGTAGGGTGGAAATAATTATGGGCCTGCCTTACGTAATCTTAATTTTTAAACTGATGAAATAATTTAATTATTCAAAATAATGATGCTCTCATGGGATAAATTAAATCTAACTTAAGGCACCTATAGATAATGGGTCTTCTCTACCCAGTCCATTTTACCATTTTATCAGAAAATAAAGATTATCTATTAAAGGCCTATGTATAACTGTTTTTACCTCAACGGCTAAAATTAAACATTGCCCTTAAAGTATATATTAGTTAAAACCCAGGCTTTGGAGTCAGATGAGCCTAGCTTTTAATTCTGGCTTTACCAATGAATATCTGTGTGATTCTGAACAAGTCACAAGGCCCATTAGTCAGTAGTACAGTCTGGGTAAGTCTCAACTTCATCACTCATATAACTTCCTGTGTAAATAAAATAGAAAAACAGAAAATAATCATAAACTAGAAATTGTAATGCCACTTTCATAGAGTTCTTGTGATGATTATATAAAGTCATTAGCAGAGTGTCTTAGTAAGCACTCAATAATTGGTAATTGTTATTGTCACCAGAGGTTTTAAGTTTTAAGATAATTATGACAATCATTTTGATAATATTGCTGTATTCACTACTCCATAATTACACTTTTTGTAAGCAATTGTTTTTAATCTCAAAAATGCTTATTTTTACATTGAAAAGTGAATGTTTATGTTATAAAATTGATTTTATTTGAGCATTGAATGCAGTCATAAAGTAATTTTAAAACATTTTCAGCTTTAAAAAAAAAAGGGTTTGGATCACCTTTTTATTCCAGTATAAATTATCATATGTTTTTCATTAAGCAATTCTGACCAAGCTAATAAAATTATATAAGAGCTAAACTAATGAAACAAACAAAAATATGGAATTTATTTTGGAAAATTTATACTGAAGTAATTCAAAGTCAAGATTGAATGAAGGTTTTTTAAAGCTAAGAAGCTTTGTACAAATAACAATTTGTGTGTTGTGTGTGTGTGTGTTTTTACACACACACATCCAATTTAATTTCTTTCATTGGAATAACCATGACCAGTTTCTCCTTTTATTTTATCATATATGGAATTGTAATTTATACTTTATCTTAAGGAATATTTATTATACAGAAAATTTATCTCCACTGGTAGGTATTATAATTCTGAAGAATTAAAAAACATTTTAAGGACTTCCCTGGTGGTGCAGTGGTTAAGAATCCGCCTGCCAATGCAGGGAACATGGGTACAAGCCCTGGTCCAGGAAGATCCCACATGCCGCAGAGCAACTAAGCCCATGTGCCACAACTACTGAGCCCGTGTGCCACACAACTGCTGAAGCCCATGTGCCTAGAGCCCATGCTCTGCAACAAGAGAAGCCACCGCAATGAGAAGCCCGCACACCACAATGAAGAGTAGCCCCTGCTCACCACAACTAGAGAAAGCCCGTGCACAGCAACGAAGACCCAACACAGCCAAAAATAAATAAATTTATTTATTTTTTTAATTTACATTTTTTTGTGAATGCCACTGAATATTCTATATAATTTATTATTTAATTCAGTTTGGGGTATCTCAACTTTACTATGAATTGAACTAATTAATCTGAAAAAAATAATGAATAATTACTGAAAGAGTACCAGATATTTTAATGTGATTGTTATGAAAATCTAGGTTAAATCAAAACTTGATTTTTCTTTTTTTAAGTCATTAGAGGTACGACTTCAGTGTGATATTGAAGATATTATTACCCCGGAACCAGAAACAAGTCCTCCATTTCCTGATCTCTCATCCCAGCTTCCTTCTTCAAGGAGCCTTTCTGGGAGCACTAACACTGTGGCTAGTGAAGGAGTAACGAAGGATAGTATCCCATGCCTCAAGTAAGAGTTGCTACCAAATTTTAAAACAATTTTACATGTTAATTGTATAATTCTTTGAAACTGTGCCAAATAAAATCATCCTCCTCTTTTATTAAGTTGTTGTCAAGTGGTCTACAGTCCACCAAGGGGTACCTTTGTCTTCTTTTTTTTGGAATATCTATGAAGAGGGCACAATATTTCCATTCTTCATTACTAATTAATATATTTCCTTCCCTGACCGACCCTAAAGAAAACATAGCTTTGATAGAATGGGAAAACGTTTGGCAGAGCAGAAACTTGCCACTTGCCTGGTACTTCTCAACTGATAAAATATTTTTAGGGAATGTCTTCAGCCTTCTTGGAATCCAAAAGTTAAACCAAGTTTACTACAAGAATACTATGTCAGAAAAAAGGCTTTTTTTCTCTCATGGTTACTAGGATATTGCATAATATTTCTTTCTCTTTTTTCAACTGATACTATTTTGTAATAAACTGCATTGTCTCAGTATATCTAAACAAATTTAGTGTCATGCTCAAATAAAACTTAAAGTTAATCAGGCCTATAGTGATGTTTATCTTGTTTTTATGCTCTCTGGTAATAGGTTACAAAAGAATGCAGTTTCCTCAAGTTACCACTTACTGCTTCTACATCGTCAAACCAAATGTTTCTAGTATTAGCTGGTTGGAGAATTTAGCCTAAGCAAGGAATTTCTCTGAGCCTCATATGAAACTATCTGAGTCTGCTACTCAAAGAACTGTGGATAACTAGTTTCCTCATTTCTTATAAAAACACTTATGGAAAATTTAAAGATGAGGTTTCAGGAGAAAAATAAGCTTACCATACAGTTAGCAGTTGCTGTACTTTTGTAATCATTGCTTCTGCCCCGCACCCCAAATTTTTCTTGTGAAATTAAAAAAGGAAGTATAAGTAGGCATTACTGAGAGGAAAATCTATGAAGGGGAAACAAAATCATTAAACTTTAGCAAATGGAAAACTTTCATAATGTTATAATTTTACACATTTAATTTTTCCTTCATATCACTTTGCTTCACTTAATTGATTTATATTAAAATGAAAGACAGAAAGAGAACAAAAAATTAAAGCTTAAGAAAGCACTGTAGATTTATTAGCTAAGAAGACCCATCACTAAAGTGGGTCCTGCAATGACCTGAGTATTTTTCTATAAAATTTAAAAAATATAAAACATAGGGATAAAAGAGAAAAACCAGTAAAATCAGCAGAAATCTGGTAGTGGAGATGAAGTAAATAATACCATGTGTTGTAGCATTTAATGCAGATTTGTAAAGTAGTAGTGGCAATCTTAAGGATTATCAAGAGAACCAAGGGGATTCAGTATAATCCTATATGTATATAAGCTCCAAAGGACCAAGCAGCAGAAGTATATTATTCTTTGAGTTACAGTATATTACAAGTGGTTCTTGAGTTGCATATAATCTATGCTTTACTAAATTATATGTTGGCATCCATCCCTAAATGACTTTCCTTTGCTGGATTTAGATATCCATATATGTAAGCTAATAAATAAGCCTTTCAATACTGCCGTCTCTTCATTTTTAGCAATATTACAATTCTTATCAATATACACATGTTTGTGCAATTATCTGATTTTCTTTTGACTTTGTATGAGGTCATCATAGGCCTCATTAGGAGGATGAGACTTAAACCAAATGTAGATGAGGGAGTTATCTGAAGAATATCTGGTGGGAGAGTATTCCAGGCAGCAGGAACAGCTAAAGCAAAGGTCGTAAAGTGCCTGGCATATAAGGAGGTCAGTGTAGCTAGAACAAAGAAAGGATGGTGGGCAGTAGAGGACAGGGTAGTAGGAGATGAAGTCAGATGGGTAATAGAGGGCAAATTATAGGCCATTGTAAGGACCTTGACTTTTATTCCTAATTAAATAGGGATGATTATAGGGTTTTAAATATAGAAGTGATATGATCAGACTTAAATTTTAAACTGGTCACTTTGGTCACTATGGTAAAGGTAGATTTGGGGATAGAAGGGAAAGGTAAAAGATGGGAGACCAATAAGGAGGCTATTGCACCTACCTAGAGATAATGTTAAGGTCTGGCAGATTCAGCAAAACAAAACAGAACAGGATACACTAATTTGAATTTCAGAGAAACAATGAACATTTTTAGTATCAGTATATCCCAAATATTACATGGGAAATACAGTAAAAACAAATAAACAAAATAAACCCATTATTTATTGTTTACTTGAAATTCAGATTTAAATGGATATCCCGTATTTTTGTCAACTGTAACTAGGATGGTAGCAGTACTAAAGTATTATAAAAAGTGGTCAGCTTCTACATATATTTTGAAGGTAGCACCAATACATTTGATAATTGGTTGGATGTAAGATACGAGATGTAAGGTATAAGAATATTAGTCAAGGATTACTTTAAGGTTTTTAAACTCAATAACTAGAAGGATAAGAGCTGCTATCAGCTGGAATAGAGAAGGATGCAAGTGGAGCAAATTTATAGAGAAAGCAGGAATTCAGCTTTTGAATATGTTGAACTCTTAAGTTGGGTGGTAGATTAATGGTCATAGTTTTTATTGTTATGCATTATAACTTACATATATGTAACAAATATTATGTAAGAAAAATAAATAATAAAAATAATTAAAAATACTATCACAAGAGAAAAAGGAACTGATGAAAGGCAGGTGAAGTTGTGGATCTGACTGAAAAACTACTTAAAGGAAAGGCTAAGAAATCACAAGTGTCTTGGTTTATTTTGAGAAAGCTAGAGAAGATACTGCCTACCTGCATAATGTCCTCAATGCCTGGTGTTGTATATTTCTGTAAGAAGATTTGTTGTAAATTCTGAAAATAAGCATGAACATACGTATTTGAACTGTATATGATACAATTACTTTTTCTGTTTTCTAGTGTTAAGACACGACCAGTGCGGATGCCTCCAGGGTATCAAGCAGAACTTGTTATTCAGTTGGTCTGGGTGGATGGTGAACCTCCACAACAGATTACTAGCCTTGCTGTAAGCTCGGCATATGGAATGTAAGTAGTTAACAGTCTTCTAATGTGTACTATTTATCTGATATGTTTGATATATTTAAATGTTTCTTTTAAAATACTTAAGTGAAATCCTAAAAATGGAAAGAAGCCCTTACCTGGATTTTTATTAGATTGAAAATGGTACTAAGAAAAATAATAATTTAAATATAAACTGTGATTCTGTGTTCTTTCTTGATGCCAAACTTTAATAGTATCCCCACTTTTAATGTTGTTGGGAGGTTGTTAGGATGTTAATACACTCATACATGTTTGTTTGTTTGCTTTGTCTTTTCTATCCTTTCCCTCCTTGTGTTTCATTTTGGATACTTTCTTCTGACTTGTCTTTAAAAGTTCACTAATTCTTCAGTGCTGTCTAATCTAATGGTAGATTGACTCATGGAGTTCAATTTCAGTTATTTTTTAGTTCTAGACCTTCCATTTGGTTCTTTTTAAAGCTTTCTGTTACCTTCTTAAATTATGGCTCTTGTCTTTTATTTCCTTGAACATGTCGAATATAGTTACTTTAAAATGTGTTTGATAACTCCATAACTGGTTTCTAGCTTAGCATTTGTCTTGGTTTTTGGTCACATTATATTGTCTTCATGTAACCTACGTTTGCTTTTTGATTTTGTTTCCGTTTTGTTTTCTTTAATTCAAAATTATATGAACATTATATATTCCTATATATATATATATATATATATAAACATTATAGAGATTCTAAAGGTTCTAAATGATGTTATCATTCTCCAAAAAGTATTTTTAATTTCCTCTGACAGGCTAAACTGAGAGTCAGTAGAAAGTGCAGAACGGCATAATGCAGTCAGACATCCTATCTTTGAAAGTTGGATTGTATTCCCTTTAAAAGCTAATTTAGTTCTAATTAATCCTTATTCCTAGGTTGTTGCCCTGCATAGAAGTTGTACCAAATTCAACTCCCACCAGCAATGTTTGAGAATACCTGATTCCCTACAACCTTTCTGACAATAGTATATAACCAAACTTTTAATCCCTGTCATTTTAAGTAAAAGAAAGTATATTATTATAATATTAACACTTTCCTTGTATCTTAAGTGAAATTGGACATCTTTTTCTCTACTGTGACATTTCTGTTTCTATTCTTTGTCCATTTTTTGGCAGAGTTGTTGTCTTTTAGATTTGTGAAAAATGTTTACATAGTAAGTAAGTTAGCTTTCTCTGTGATGTAACCTATAGATATTTTCCTTTCTTTTGTTTCTTTTATGACTTTGTTTAGGATGGTTTTTTCCATGCAAAAATTTAAAATTTTTAAATTTAATTTTTAAATTCTATTTTTTTCTTTTTTGGCTCTGGATTTTGTGTCATACTTAGAAAAGCCTTTTTCACTTCAAAATAATGAAGAATATTGTCCTATATCATTGTTTCTTTAATATATTTAAGTCTTTATCTGGAGTTTATTTAGGTATGAGGTATGAAATAGGGATTAAACTTTATTTCTTACCTGATGACTAAGAGTTATGCCAATACCACTTCCTGGATATTTCATCTTTCCCCTCTAAATTTGGAATCATCTTTTATCAAATAATACATTAAAATATATATATATTTGGCTCTATTTCTATACTTCCCAGTCTTCCCCTAAGCTAAGTCTCATGAGCTCCAAGAGGACTCCTTGAAGCCAGCTGAAAGGGTGAATACCTGAAAAAAACCTGTGTTCCTAGAATTTGGGGCGGGGGTAGATGTATGTGAATATGATATTGGGAGCTTGCTTCTTGGCTGAAAAATTCTTTGGTAGGAAAGCTGGCAGGAACAGTCCATGGATGAGGGGAGGAAAGGAAGGGAGGGTGGGACAGCTGATAATCCCATTGTTTGATATGGCAAGAAGATATGCTTATCTTTTAACCCGGGTAGTTACCACTGAAGTTGGCTGAGCTCAAGCCATTTTCAGGGTTCCCTACTTAGAGACTGACCTACAAAGGCAAGGCAATGCCAAAATTAAGAGCTATGAAGGTGTATTGCCAGGTTCAGGAGCTGAAGGTTGTTGGAATAAGTCAGTCAGGTAGAGAGCATATTTCCCTTATAAAGTTACTGTGGGGTTGACAGTCATTACAGAGCCTCTGAAGAACCTACACTTGTATGAGAAAGCTTGGACGCCTGCCTCATAGATACCCTCAACTGCCAAAAAACTCCAGTTCAATTGGCTATCCATGTATATTCCACCAAAGTTTTAGGAAATAAGTAACAACAGTACTTATTTTCTTTCTGAGAACGTATTCCTCTTTCTGAGAATTGTGAAAGAAAAAAATCATATTCCTCTCATTTTATGAGGCCAACATAACCTGATGTCAAAACTTGAAAAGGGATTGGATCAAGATGGCAGAGTAGGAGGATGTGGAACTCATCACCCCCCACAAACAACTCAAAAATTCACCTACATGTGGAACAAGTCTCATGGAACTGGAAACTGTCAGAAGAATTCCTATACAACTAAAGCTGCAAGAAAGATTTCCATGTAACTGGGTAGGATGGAAAAAAGTCATAGGGTTGGGACCTCCACCCTGGGTAGGGAGCTGAAAGGTTGAGAAGGTCTGCACCTGTGGACCCTTACCCTGGGGGCTGAGTAGGTCAAGCCACAGACTGGAATTCCCAGTCCTGGGGCCCTACACAGAGGAGACAAGCCCCTTTGGCTGTAGATAGAACTGCCTGCCAAAACTGAATCAAGAAGAAACATAATTTGAACAGACTGATCACTAGAAGTGAAGTAGAATCTGTAATTAAAAAAACAAAAACAAACAAACAAAACAACCTCCCTGCACAGAAGTCAAGGACTGGATGGCTTCAGTGGAGAATTCTACCAAAATTACAAAGAAGGACTTATACCTATCCTTCTCAAACTATTCCAGAAAATTGAAGAAGAGGGAACACTCCCAAATTCATTCTATGAAGCCACCATCACCCTGACACCAAAACCAGACAAATATACTACAAGACAAGAAAATTATAGGCCAATATCACTGATGAATATAGATGCAAAAATCCTTGACAAAATATTAGCAAACCAAATCCAGCAATACGTAAAAAGGATCATACAACATGATCAAGTTGAATTCATTCCAGAGTCACAAGGATGGATGGTTCAACATACACAACTCAATCAATATGATACACCACATTAACAAAAGGAAAGACAAAAACCATGTGATCATCTCAGTAGACAAAGAAAGAGCATTTGACAAAATTCAATATCCATTTATGATAAAAACTCTCATCAAAGTGGGTATAGAGGGAACATATCTCAACATCATAAAGGCCATTTATGACAAACCCACAACTCACATAATACTCAATGGTTAAAAGCTAAAAATTTTCCTATTAAATTCAGGAAGAAGACAAGGATACCCACTCTCACCACTTCTGTTCAACATAGTATTGGAAGTCCTAGCCACAGCCATCAGGCAAGAAAAAGAAATAAAAGGTATCCAAGTTGGAAGGGGAGAGGTAAAACTGTCACTATTTACAGGTGACATGATACTCTGTATAGAGAACCCTAAAGTCTTCACCCCAAAACTATTAGAACTAATAAATGTATTCAGCAAGGTCACAGGATACAAGATTAATATACAGAAATTTGCTGCATTTCTATACACTAATAATGAAATATCAGAAAGAGAAATTTTAAAAAATCCCATGTAAAATTGCATCCAAAAAACAAACAAAAAAAAACCTAGGAATAAACTTAACTGAAGAGGTGAAATACCTATATGCTGAAAGTATAAAACATTGATGTAGGAAATTGAAGGTTATTCAAAGAAACAGAAAGGTATCCCATGCTCTTGGATTGGAAGAATTAATATTGTTAAAATGGCCATACTACCCAAAGCAATCTACAGATTTATATGGAACCAGAAAAGACCCATAATTGCCAAAGCAATCCTGGGGGAAAAAAACAAGGCATACCCTTCCAGATTCTATAATATACTACAAATCGACTGTGATCAAAACAGTGTGGTAGGGCTTCCCTGGTGGCGCAGTGGTTGAGAGTCCGCCTGCTGATGCAGGGGACGCGGGTTCGTGCCCCGGTCCGGGAAGATCCCACATGCCACGGAGCGGCTGGGCGCATGAGCCATGGCCACTGAGCCTGTGCGTCTGGAGCCTGTGCTCTGCAACAGGAGAGGCCACAACAGTGAGAGGCCTGCGTACCGCAAAAAAAAAAACAAAAAAACAACAGTGTGGTATTGGCACAAAAATAGACATATAGAACAATGGAACAGAATAGAGAGCCCAGAAATAAACCTACACACCTATGGTCAATTAATCTATGACAAAGGAGGCAGGAATATACAATAGAAAAAAGACCATTTCTTCAACAAGTGGTGTTGGGAAAGCTGGACAGCTGCATATAAAACAATGAAATTAGAACATTCCCTCACACCATATACAAAAATAAACTTAAAATAGTTTAAAAACCTGAATGTAAGACATGACACCAAAACTCCTAGAAGAGAACATAGGCAAAACATTCTTTGACATAAAGTGTAGCAATATTTTCTTTGATTAGTCTCCCAAGGCAAAAGAAATCAAAGCAAATGTAAAAGCTTTTGCACAGCAAAGGAAACCATCAACAAAATGAAAAGACAGCTGTGGAATAGGAGAAAATATTTGCAAACTGTGCCTCCAACAAGGGGTTAATATCCAAAATATACAAACAGCTCATACAACTCAATATCAAACACACACACACACACACACACACAAAGAATCCAATTTAAAAAATGGGCAGAAGACCTAAATAAACATTTTTCTAAAGAAGACGTACAGATAGCTAATAGGCATGTGAAAGGATGCTCAACATCGTTGATTATTAGAGAAATGCAAATCAAAACCACAATGAGTTATCACCTCACACTAATCAGAATGGCTGTCATCAAAAGGTCTACAAATAATAAATGTTGGAGAGGATGTGGAGAAAGGAGAACCCTTGTACACTGTTGGAGAGAATGTAAATTGGTGCAGCTGCTATGGAA